TGAATAATTTGACAAGGTTTGAATAAGGACCAGTCTCCGAAACAGTCTGTTTTCGGCAGCATTTTTGCGTTTTGGCACCAATCCTTTTCTGACTTCACTTTAGGGTGGTTCAGCAGCATTCCCGCCAGGTTTTTGGGGTTAGCGGATCACTTCGAGACCTTTTTCTTCCAATCCAGTTCCAATTATCCCGACCATTAGGATGCTTGTGAAAGGTTGAGAATGCCAAGCCTATCGTTGAAAAAGTGCGTAAACCCCGTAAATGATGCCAATTTCATCATTATATTGATCACACAAGGTTTTAGAAGGGATGCCTCGAAAACTTAGCCGATTAGCATCCATCCAATTGATTAACATGCTGATTTGCCTGTTGTTCAAACCAATTCAAACCAACTCAAACCTGGTCGGTTTGGTTTGAATAACGGATCCTTATTCAAACCAAACCGGTTTGATTTGAAAAGCAGATTCTTATTCAAACCGCCCTTATTCAAATCAAACCGGTTTGAGTCGCGATTTGATTTGAATAAGCCGCACTCTAGTTTGAACCACTCACAAATCCCAGCCTGTCCACACACCCACGCCAACCGGATGTACAAAATCACACCGATGATGTTTTGCAGGCACCTAAATCTTTGTAAAAATCATAATGCGCACCAAAACCTGATATAAACCCCCTCGATCCACCCAAATTTCTTCTGCTGCGTTGGCGAAGTTTCTGGGGACGAAATAGGCGCCGGATCCCCATTTTCGAGCTATAACAGAAGGCATAGTAAACCGAGGACTAATTTAATCCGCAAAAAAATGTTGCTTTTTTGATTGATACCACCAACCTCATCCGCCGAAGAATTCCGTGATAAATTAACGACTTTAGCCGGAAGTGGCGGAGTGGAGAAGCCTTCGAGAAGACCGCCCATCGAGGGTCGCATCTTAAAGGCCTCTGGAAAGATGGGATTGTTCAAAAAGCAAGAAGATGTGCACCGGCCGGGGGTCGAACCAGGGATGGTCCGCCCCGCAGTCCAACGCGTTACCCCCACACCAAAGGGGTCGAGTGGGTGAGGGCGGCGGAGGGGCCCCAAGTACCCTAGGGTCCATCTCCTGCACGTCACTGGGCGACAATTTAAAATAAAGCTATTTATAGATAATAATAACGAAAAATCCTACAGAAAAGCTTGCCAAGGGCAAGGAGCGTCTTCCCTGAATTTCCTGAAGTGTTTTATGCCCTTTCCGACGATTTTTCAAGTAAAGAACGCCCCAAAAACCTCTTTTCGCTCAGAACATGGCAGCCATCGTTCCAATCAGCCTCAAATTTTTACCATCGATGGGGATGGCTATAAACTATTTTTATGGAAGTTTCCAGCCAAAAATATAGTCAATCAAAAAAGTTATGGCTATAAACCAGTTTTCTGCAAAACCAGTTGGGGGTTTTGGGGCCCCTTACGCGATGGAAAGCGTGCATGGTACCGCCCCGTCGGTCCCTCACCCCTGGGGACGCCCGGCCATCTTTCCAACGGTCTTTAAAAATAGGTTTTTAGACATCTCTTTCTCTCTCTCTCTCTCTCTCTCTCTCTCTCTCCATCTCGCCCTCTCTCTCTCTCTCGCTCTCACCTCTCTCTACCACCAACCTGATCCGTTTTCCGCTCACATGTCAGCTTATAAAATTCAATGTTCGGCGGCAACTCCGTCGAGTTCATACCGTAGCTCCTGAAAAAAAATTTTTAGTTTGAGAGAGTTAAAGCAAGAAAATTTTGATAGTTGTCATTTAATAAATGTCTTCCGCAAAGTCCATTTCATTTTCCATTCCGTTCCATTTGGCAAACACCGAAGAAGTTGTTCGCCATAAATTTTGTTTGAAATTTTGGCGCGTTCCCGGCGGGGGCAGGGTCAACAAACATATCAGCTCGGCCATCGGCGGGCGCCTTTATTAGTTTTTTTTGGTGATATTTTGTGTGGGGTGGCAAGTTATGGTAACTTACACGGCCGTCTCGGTCCGTGTTTTTCCGTCATCGACCGTCATTTCGCCTGAAAACACTGCATTTTGCTGGTTTTTTGAGCAGAAAATCAAAAATAGGTTCTTTCGCATTATATAAGTCCAGGGATACTATAGTCACCCGATATTACAGTATGCTGGGCCTGTGGTCCCCAAAATCACAATCCCCTACTGCCCAACCGCCTCCTTTGAAAAGAGCTGCCACTAATTCGCCTAGTGCGCCTACTCAAGGACCTGAAAGTCCTGACAAGGCCATACATGGATTCATTAGTATCAGTCCGCCCGAAGCTTTCCCTGACCCTACAATTCCACCTACACCCTATTCCTTCGAAAATTCAGACCAATTCATGACGGCATTGATTCTTATTACAAAACTCCGAGAGCAAGGCCAAACTATTCAAGAACTTCATGGGCTGGTTGCTTCAATGAACCAGCAAATTGCTATGCTAAACCAAACGGTCCTCACTCTTCAAACGACGGTCACTGAACTCAAAGAGCGTCCTTCCCCTCAAACTACCTACGCTTCGAAGGTTGCTTCCAATCTCCCAACCATCCCTTTGACCGCCATGTTCAAGCAAGTCATTCGGGACGAACAGGCTTCTTCAGAATATGAACGTCAAGTATTCATACGAGGAATGCCTGAGGGTGATACGCCCGATAAGGATGCCGTTGTCCAAATCTCTGGACAATCCACGCCCAGAAAGGTTTTTCGTCTAGGGGGCGCAAGACTCCCAACTTCCAACGCACCCCGTCCCGTCATTGCTGTCTTCGAGAATCAGACGGAGGCACAGAATTTCCTGAAAACGGTCAATACCCCGAAAAACCGCTCGTCGGGACTCCAGGCTCGCCCGAACTACTCACCTTCCGACACGCTCTTGTACAAGCAGGCCTGGAAAGAAGCCATCGACAAGAACAACCAAGAGAAGCGAGCGATCTGGACAGTGAGAAACTGCAAAGTTACTCGTCGCCAATATCCTCAGGGCACGGAACCATCCCCATGGACAGTTCGTCCAATCAAAAATTCAACTTAATCCAGCTACTACTAGGTCCCATTCGCTCCATACGCTACTTATTAATTCCTGCTTGCTCTACCCTAATATCTCTAGTCTAAATGCCCTTCTATTATTCAACCATTACGATTTTCTTCCTGGGCTCATTGAATCGCCGACCATCGCTGAGCCTTTCAGCGTTCACCAGTCAATCGATTTCTATATTTTGCTTAGTCACCATCGGCCCATTCCCCTCCCCACAGGCTAAGAGATTTCCTCCGTGCCTCCTTTGAAGAAATAAACCGGCGAATAGCGGGGACCAATCGGCTTTTTCTATTTCGCAAACTACACTATCGCAGAAGAAATTCGAAGAACATCTATTCGCTAATTTTGTGCCCTGGGTGTCTTGCTATGCGATGACTTCAGCTGCTCGCCAAATGTGGTAGAGGTGACAAATAAAGCAGTTCGCTGCTCTTTTTATATTTAAAAAAGAAATTTTTCATGGCAAAATTCCAAATTTCTGCTCTAGAAACAATTCAGCAAGTCTTCGCTCGACGTGTATGCTACCGGTCGCGTAGGTCTCCTATTGTTCGGCATGTACTCAATCCAATCTCGAACCATTGAACCATAGGAGAACCGCGGACTTTCTTTTTATCAGGTTGGAAAGAAAGTAATGGCACAAAATCTTTAAACCGCTGTAAAAACCCGCAGGAACGTCCGATTTGCAAGTATGATATATGGTTTGGTAGATTTTCGGATGCTCTATCTCGAAACGACCTTCAAAACACCCAAAAACTAATGTACGCCAAAATAAAGGCCTCAGAAGTTTCGCAGAAAATTCGGTGAAAGCTTCTAAGCGAGATATCTCTGCATACAGGCATTTGCATACGATACTTTTAACACCAATCTATAGCCCTCGAGGAGTAGATATCGATAAATGTTGAGATCATCAAAATCGGACACTGGATGGCCGAGATATGCCCCCTAGAAATTTGGTCCACTTCTTAGAACTTTTCTCGAAATCCCATACATTTAGGCCTGCGCGAGCCAAAAACTGCTGCGTTTGCTTCAGCTCCCAAACCAAAATCCAGAGAATGCATTGATTTTGGAAGGCCCATATCTCGGCCATCCAGTGTCCAATTTTGATGATCTCAACATCTATCGATATTTACTCCTCGTGGGCTATCGATTGGTGTTAAAAGTATCGTATGCAAATGCCTGTATGCAGAGATATCTCGCTTGGAAGCTTTCACCGAATTTTCTGCGAAACTTCCGAGGCCTTTATTTTCGCGTCCATTAGTTTTTGGGTGTTTTGAGGGTCGTCTCGTGATAGAGCATCCGAAGATCTACCAAACCATATAACAAAATTTCGAATCGGACTTTCCTGCGGGTTTTTACAGCGGTTTAAAGATTTTGTGCCATTACTTTCTTTCCAACCTAATATTTTTCTTTCACAAGATTCCTTCTCATATGTCTGAAAATACTTTCTTTAATGCTGCCCCTCTAGAACCCGTGGTCCTAAAACCAAAACCAAAATCAGCCCTATACTTGCTCAAAAAACCTCTGTCAAAAGCTTTCTTCTCCTCTCGCGTAGATGCTCCCTTAAATTCTTGTCCCCAAACTGCCATTATATTCCGTCTAAAGTCTTTAAAAATCATCTTTCCCGACTTATCCACATCTCCTATCTACTAATGGTGTTCTCGTCATTCTACTCTTCTATTCCATTCCCCCTCTTTCACATCTTCATAATATTTACAATTAATCATAATTTTCCCCTTATTTATCTATCCTCTCCATCACTCTATTTACACCTGATTCCTCACACTGTAAGAGTTGACTTTGTGAACCTTGTGTTGAGAATAAATATTATTATAGGGATGGATTTAATGTCGCAATTTGAGAATGTCGAAATTTCAAGGTATAGACATTTTTTTGCCTAGGTTTCGGGGGGTCCGGGAAACTTATCTTATGTAATGTTCTATATGTTACATACTACATTTCAATTGAAAAGTTATAAAAATTCCCTAGACAGCCAGCGTCGATTTGTGGTGGTTGGCTTGCGTAGAGGAGCCCCAATTTACATCTGAAACATTTTTTAATGGAACGGTGAAGGTTTTGCTATGGATTTTGCCGCCACGCGACGCGCAACCATGCGACTTCGTTTCATCATGTGTCCTCATTTTCATCTGTCATAATGGCAACATTTTTCGCATTCTATTTATCGGTTTCTCGAGCGGACCTTTATACTGTCTCCGGAAATGTCGAGCTACGTAATAATAAAAAGTTTGGGTGTGTTTCGGTAAACTTGAACTATTTTTCAAGTAAAAAAGCTCTCGAAAAAGGGCAAACCGAAAATTCTTGGGTAAAATTTTGGCAAAGAACTTTTTTTGCTTGTTATGTATTTTGTATTTTGAAAGGAAAATTGTGGAGTTCCTTGGATTAGAAACGGGCGAATGAGAATGAGAGAGCGAGCGGGAAAGATAGAGAGTGCGAGAGCGAAAGAGAGAGAGTGGGAGAGGAAGAGCGCGACAGCATGGAAAATTACCCGGTGAATTAGAATAGGAGGCGTCAAAACAGGCGTAGTTGACGAGTGTATAGGTGCAGAGGAAGAAGTTGGAGATGATCGGGGCGATTAGGTCGAGTTTTCCTAAAATGGAGATATCTTCCGCTCTCTTGCTCACTCGCTCTCTCTCTCTCTCTCGCTCTCGCACTCTCTCACTCTCTCGCTCCCCTTCACTTACCAATCAAAATCATGCCCACAGTAATCGCGAACGTGAGGGCGTAGGCGCGTCGTGGAGCGTTATCGGCCCCGTAGCCCTTTTTGAGCCAGGTAATGTAGGGGAATAGGTTGTCAGCAGCCACTGCCTAAAGTACGGTAGCATACGGTAGGCGATACACGTTTTAGAATCTTGAGTTCGGGACCAGCTACGGTAGAAATGACCGAAAAATATCATGCTTACCTGAAAAATTTTTGGGGCCGAAACGAGCGACGCCAGGGCTGATGACAGGGTGGACGCCAGGATGCCGATGAGGATCATTGGCGGCCAGGCGGAGATCTCCGACATCACCTACAAGTTCAGACGATTTGGAAGGAAGGTATCTAGCACTCACTCTCCCTCTCCCCCCCTCTTTATATCTCTCTCTGTCCGTCTTTATCGCCCTCTCTCTCTTTATCTCTCTCGCTCTCTCTCGCTCTCTCTCTCGCTCTCTCTTGATCTCTACCTGATAATCGTTCATCAACCCATACTGGCAGGTTCCCGTGCAGTTCGGCTTCAGAATGTTGCCTATAACCCGGGTTTTACGATTTCTAAAGAGACTAGAAAGTCCTGGAATCAACCCCTGATTGACTAGGTCTCGACAGCTACGCGACACTCCAAAATACCCGTTTGCGTGCATTTTAACGGTTTTAAACCTTTTTGTACGGACTACACGCTGAACAGAACTTGGTTGTTCACGTTGTTTCGAACGGCGCGTAGCTGTCAAGACCTAGGAGGTTTTAAGGGATCGATTCACGAGCCTCCTAGTGCCTGGAATGATGGAGGTAAAGTCCTTACCCTCAACCACCCAATTGCGTGTAACACCATCGGCATCCCTCACCCATACCGAGCCGCTGACCAGCACCGTCCCCATGTAGATGAGGGTGGCCGAGACGATGGCTAGCAGGGTTCCGCGAGGAATTGCCATCTGAAGCGGAGGTTAGAGAAGAAAGTGAGAGAGAGAGCGAAAGCGAGAGAGATAGAGAGTGAACATGCGAAAGAGCTAGAAAGAGAGACAGTGAGAGATAGAGAGAGCGGAGAGAGAGAGAGAGAGAGAGAGAGACTGGCTTCGTCTGTCCCTGTGGGTTCCTCAAATCTCCAGAAATATTGGCGCCGGCCATGATTCCGGTCGCCGCCGGGAAGTATATGGAGAAAATCGTGAAGAAGGACTGATCCCGAAAACTCGGGAGGAGATTCTCCTTGAACGTGATGGCTAAATGTTTGCCTTTAGCGTTTCGCACTCACGCTTTCGCTCTCCCTCTCTCGCTCGCACTCTCTATCTCTCTCTCTCTACGCTATGTACCTGAATACCCGGTAAATCCCTTCTTCTCCTTGGTCTCTGTGTGTATAAATGTGCCGGCGATGAAGCAGATCATCGACAGCGTGAATGGGATTAGCATTATCTGAAGAATTGAATAATCTTCCGCGAGAGAGCGGGCGAGAGAGAGAAACGAGAGAGAGAGAGAGAAAGAGAGAGGGAGAGAAAGAGAGAAAGAGGGAGAGCGAGAGAACGAGAGTGCGAGAGTGCGAGAGAGTGATAGAGAGAGGGAGAGAAATAGAGCGATAAAAGAGAGAGAGAGAGAGAGAGAGAGAGAGAGAGAGAGAGAGAGAAGCTCCCCACCTGCTGCAGCTTCGATTCTATAGAAATTCCGATGCAAATGATGGCCATCAGAATGATGCACGTGGCTGAAAATAGGCTATGTCTCTCTCGCTCTCTCTCTCGCTTTCTCTCTGTTGCGCTGTCTCTCTCTCTCTCTCTCTCTCTCTCTCTCTCTCTCTCTCTCTCTCTCTCTCTCTCTCTCTCTCTCTTTCTTCCCCCAAAATCCCTTACCAACTCCAATCACGCGCACCTCGTTCGTCTCGTCAAATAGGCTCCAATTGTGATCCCGCAAAAAATCCACAACGGTCTCTGCTAGCCCTACGATGTACAGTGCGGCGGCGACCTATGAAGCCCTTACATTTTCCCTACAATCTCTCACCGCATTCGCACAGCAAAAGAGCAGCCCGATCGAGCCCCCAAATTCCGGGCCCAGCGTCCTCGATATCTAAAATTTCTTTTTAAACGGCCAGGAGGCGTTGGAATCGACCCATTACACTGACTAGGTCTAGACAGCTACGCGACACTCCAAAATACGTGGCTTTGATAGCCCTAGTTAACGCTGTTTTTTGAAGCATCGTGTACCTGTCGAGACTTAGTCGCGCGGGGGGTCGATTAACACGTTTCTGACCCCTTTTAAAGGGGCCGTTACACCAAGAAACTGACCATGTAGTAAACCCCGCCCCCTTTGACCTCGCCGTTGGTGGTGATGGCGGCCGTGGAGATGGTGGTCACGATCGTCACCAAGGAGGCCAGGAGGAGGATGAAGAGGGCCATTACTAGAAATGAGTGTTAGGAGCGTGAGAGCGAGAGTGAGAAAGAGAGGGAGAGAGGGAGAGAATGAGTGAGTGAGTGAGTGAGTGAGAGAGCGTAAGAGGGAGAGAGTGAGCGGGAGGGAGGGAGAGAGCTAGAGAGAGAGAGAGAGTGACAGAGACAGAGACAGAAAGAGAACCACTCACAAATCCCAGCTTGTCCACACACCCACGCCAACCGGATGTACAAAATCACACCGATGATGTTTTGCAGGCACCTAAATCTTTGTAAAAATCATAATGCGCACCAAAACCTGATATAAACCCCCTCGATCCACCCAAATTTCTTCTGCTGCGTTGGCGAAGTTTCTGGGGACGAAATAGGCGCCGGATCCCCATTTTCGAGCTATAACAGAAGGCATAGTAAACCGAGGACTAATTTAATCCGTAAAAATCTTACTTTTTTGATTGATACCACCAACCTCATCCGCCGAAGAATTCCGTGATAAATTAACGACTTTAGCCGGAAGTGGCGGAGTGGAGAAGCCTTCGAGAAGATCGCCCATCGAGGGTCGCATCTTAAAAATAGGTCTCTCTCTCTCTCTCCCTCTCTCTCTCTCTCTCTTGCTCTCTCTTGCTCTCTCTTTATCTCTCTCGCCCTCTCTCTCGCTCTCACTCTCTCTACCACCAACCTGATCCGTTTTCCGCTCACATTTCAGCTTATAAAATTCAATGTTCGGCGGCAACTCCGTCGAGTTCATACCGTAGCTCCTGAAAAAAAATTTTTAGTTTGAGAGAGTTAAAGCAAGAAAATTTTGATAGTTGTCATTTAATAAATGTCTTCCGCAAAGTTCCATTTGGCAAACACCGAAGAAGTTGTTCGCCATAAATTTTGTTTGAAATTTGGGCGCGTTCCCGTCGGTGGCAGGGTCAACAAACATATCAGCTCAGCCATCAGCGGGCGCCTTTATTAGTTTTTTTTTGGAAATGTGCAGTGGCTCACCTAAAATAAGGTGCGAACCATCAAGAAAAGCCCACGTTGACCTCGCTGGCCGTGTCTTCATCAAAGAGGTCGACGAGAACATCGAGAAGGTGTGCGCAATATTGTGGTGTCATCCAGACAAGCTTTCCTAAGCCAGGAAAAATAGAATTGAATTACTTCAGTACCGTCTACATCGATGATGGGTAGTCGCTTGCAAAACGCACGCAGTTCTCCCTCACTGATTGGCAGCTGGCGTAACAGCTGGCGAATAGAGTAACTAAATCACCATCAACATACAGGCAAAAGTATTCTACCGTTTTTGATGGTTCAGATCGTCGGAGATGTCGGTGAGCTCTTCATCGTCGACGTGGTGGAGCTCGTATTCCTTTAAAAGCCGCCGAACAGTCGAAGTTTCCGCGTGGAATGGCAAGGTGCAGGCGCGAATCGACAGGAGCGCGAAACTGATTGAAACATCTATTACGCAAAAAAGGAAATCTGATGTACCTCACACTCTTTGAAATCCGTGGCGCGACCGTGGTGCAACCGCAAACACAGCGTCTGATGTGTTTCTCTAAAACTTAGTTCTGATAAAAAGACGGCAACCCCACCTGAATCGTGAACGTGCTATTCGCGGTGCACATCACGAGAGGGTCCTTGGCCCCGCTTCGGAAGTAGAACCTAAAACCTAGGTATTTAAGAAAGCTCTCTCTCACTTTTCGCCCTGCTGGAACGACTTCATGACATCTTTCGGGACGGCAATCGCCCGAAGCCGCGCTTCGCCGTCGCCAAAACCGTCGGTAAATCGCAGATTCGTCCGCCCGTGCTAAATCCACGCTGTGAATTGAACAATTGATCAATCATCAAAAACTGCTGCATACCTGCTTCAAAGGGCTCGTGTCTCCAAACTCCTTCCTCGTCCGGCAACTCCCGTTTTTGCATTTCAGCTACCTAAAAAAAGCCTTTCAGAAATGGTAGTTATGTTACATTCTCCATGAAAGCTGGGTCATTTTTGCGCAGCTCGAACTCGGCAAGTATTGTCTCGCGCCGCTTCTTGGCCTGCTCCAAGACCTACGATTTGCAAGTTTTACATTTGAAACGTTTGCACACACCAATCGAATCCCAGGTGCTTTCACAAAATTTTTTGGCGCTTTCGGAGCAGCCTTAAGTATAAAATACTATATTCCCATCTATTACTCTAATCGGACGCCTCGTCCCATATCGGGGGTTAGCGCTCGTTTTTCTTTTTTTTTTGAAACTTCTAGCCTAGAAATAGAGTCTTCGCAAGCAAAAAAGTTTTCGTTGGTTAGTAATAAATTAGTAATAGTAAGTAACGACTTATTAGTATAAAATAAATCGCCGAGCGGAGGTTGCACAACTATGTACAATTTGAGCGGGGTTACGGTAGGCGTTCTCTCCATGCCTCCCTTCTCCCTTTCCGAATTTCCTCTTTCTCCCTTACCTTTACCAGCGCGTTGTCTGTTTTATGATCTTCAGTCTATTTTCCTCGAGTTAACGCGTTTATCTAACTGAATATTATACTTTGATTTTTATTCTAATCCAAAAGCTTTCCATTGCCGAAATCCCCTTAAAAAACGAGTTAGATAGCTTCCTGATGGCTTCAGATACCTCCCCTAGCCGAACACCCCTTAAAAAACTAGTTATATAGCTTCCTGATCGCTTTAGATACCTCCCATTGTCGAAATCCCCTTAAAAAACTAGTTGGATACCTTCCTGCTGGCTACAGATACCTCCCCTAGCCAAATTCCCCTTTGGCTTCCTGATGGCTTCAGATACCTCCCCTAGCCAAAATCCCCTTAAAAAACTAGTCAGATAGCTTCCTGATGGCTTCAGAAACCTCCCCTAGCCGAAATCCCCTTAAAAAACTAGTTAGATCGCTCCCTGATGGCTTCAGATACCTCCCCTAGCCAAAATCCCCTTAAAAAACTAGTCAGATAGCTTCCTGATGGCTTCAGAAACCTCCCCTAGCCGAAATCCCCTTAAAAAACTAGTTAGATCGCTCCCTGATGGCTTCAGATACCTCCCCTAGCCAAATTCCCCTTAAAAAACTAGTTAGATAGCTTCCTGATGGCTTCAGATACCTCCCCTAGCCGAAATCCCCTTAAAAAAACGAGTTAGATAGCTTCCTGATGGCTTCAGAAACCTCCCCTAGCCGAAATCCCTTAAAAACTAGTTAGATACCTTCCTGCTGGCTGCATATACCTCCCATAGCCAAAATCCCCTTAAAAAACGATTTCTTTTTGGTGACTTTCTTCGATGATTCCTTTCTGCGCTTCAACATACCTTTCCATTTCTAGATGTCCATCTCGCGTGTCATGGCGGAACCCCACTCGGATACCCGTCGAACCGTCAAGCTGGACCTTCACACCGACGCTGACAAAAGCGTTTCCGCGATTGTACACGAGGACCTTGATGGCGGCAAGTCCGTCCACAACGACTTGGGCGTGCTCACTACCCTCCGCAAAATCAACGAGAAGATTGGTCCCGCCCTCGTCGCCCAGGTAAATTGGTTTTCGATTTGGCTGAGGAATAAGCCTTTCGTTTAGAACTTTGACGTGACGCGGCAGCAAGAGATCGACCAGTTCATGCTCGCCCTGGACGGCACCGACAACAAGGTATTCGATTTTCCCTTTTGTCGCAATACTTTCGTTTAGAACGTGCTCGGAGCCAACGCCATTCTCGGCGTCTCGCTCGCCGTCTGCAAGGCCGGGGCCGTCCGCAAGGGACTCCCCCTCTACAAGTACATCGCCGAGCTGGCCGGCATCGATAAGGTCAGCTAATTTTAATTTTTGTTTATAGTTTGTTGTATTGGCTAATTTTCTGTTTTAGGTCATCCTTCCCGTGCCCGCGTTCAACGTCATCAACGGCGGCTCTTACGCTTGCAAAAAGCTAGCCGTCCAGGAATTCATGATCCTGCCCGTCGGAGCGCAGACGTTCGCCGAGGCCATGCGGATGGGATCTGATGTTTGTTTTCTTATTTCTTCTTATAACCGACTTTTTTAGGTCTACCACCACCTAAAGACGGTGATCCAGAAGCGCCGCCTCGACGCGACCGTCGGAAACGACGGAGCCTACGCCCCCAACATCAAGAAGGACAAGGAGGGCCTCGACCTCCTCAAGTCGGCCATCGAGAAGGCAGGCTACACCGGCAAGGTAAAAAACATCTTTAGTTTTTTGGGAAATAAATTTTCAGATTAAAATCGGCCTGCGTACGAAGCGCAGCCAGAAGCAGGCCCGCGAGCTCGTCAAGCACTACAAGTGGTCCATCGAGGGATACCCGGTCGTCTCCATCGAAGACGGCTTCGACCAGGACGACTGGGAGCACTGGGGCAAATTCATGGGGAGGACGGATCTGCAGCTCGTCGGCGACGACTTGACGGTGACCAACCCGAAGCGAATCCAGACGGCCATCGACAAGAAGAGCTGCAACTGCCTTCTGCTAAAGGTAAAAACCGAGGCATCTCTTGACTTCAGTTTTTAAATTAAATTCCGATATTTTCGTATTTTTAGGTCAACCAAATCGGCTCCGTCACCGAGTCGATCGAGGCGGCCACCCTCTCGCGCAAGAATGGCTGGGGCGTGATGGTCTCTCATCGGTCCGGCGAGACGGAAGACACCTTCATCGCCGATCTCGTCGTCGGGCTTGCCGCAGGACAGGTAGCACATATTTGGTTCTTTCTAACTTGTCTCTTTTAGATCAAGACAGGTGCCCCATGCCGCTCCGAGCTCCCGAAATACGAAAGGTTCAAGCAAATCGAGGAGGAGCTGGGCTCGGATGCCGTCTACGCCGGCGTGCACTTCCGCAACCCCCAAGGCAAATGAGCGGTATCTCTTATCCCCTCCTCCAAATATGTCCCCATCTAAATTGTGGCCCATCCGCCTAGGATAGAATAGGATCATGTGTTTGTGTTCCATTCCTACGTTGTGTTTTTTCCCTGGCGTTTTGTAGCCCCCTTAGCATTGCCAATTTCCCAGTCCCCGTGCGTGTTTTGAAAGCTGTAATTTCCGTACTATTCACTACTATGATGCCATAAATATTCGATCACTCGCTCAACTTGTAAGAATGTGCGCAGCAATGGTTTTTCAAACCTCGTAGTTTTTGGTGAAGATTTTGAGGGAATTTTTAGGCATATGGCTAGAACTTTCGTCGCTCCAGTTGCTAAAGTTTGCTTTCGGGTATCAAAGTCGTGGATTTAGTGGCCGCCAAAAGCCCTTTTTAGAATGCGTGGTTTAGAAATTGGTTCTGTCACATTATCGGGGGAGTTCCGAACTTTTTTATAGAAATTTAGTAATATCTAGGAGCTTAATTGGACGTGTTTTAACGATACTTTGAACTATCTAAAAACTATCTATCTATATAAATTATCTAATAACTTCACATAAATTTTGAAAGAATTGAAAATTTGATCATTGTTGTCGAAAATCCGAAATTTCGCGATTTTTGATTACAAATATATATAAAAATATAAAATATGGCAAAGTTTTCACGCTGGGAATTTCATCTCCCCTCCGATGGTTTGTGATTTTTGTGCAATCGTTGGTTGTTTTGATATCCTTGTTTTTTGATATGTTTTGATGATAGTCATTGCCTAAGATGTTTCTTTCGCATTATTGGGTGCTTCACTCTAGAAATTCCTAGTTACCTAATAGTAGGTATTTTCATAATGTTTTCCGTAAAATAAAACGAATTTTAGCGAAAAAACTTTCTATAACTTTCAAAAGTTTCAAAAGGTGGACCTTTTGGTCCACAAAAACGGCATTTTTGGTCGAAAAATCGACGTTTTTTGTAATTTTAATCAAAATTTTAAATGTTTTACGTTTAGAAATAGTAAAACACAGTTTAGAAACACGTCCGCGATTTATATTTGAAAAATTCGTCCCTAAAAACTGTCTTCCCCCGCCCCGATAATGGGAAAGAATCGATTTGCCTTTTCTCTCGCCGTTCTCCATCTATTTTCTTGCCATTTAAAAAATCTTGTTTTTCAGGTATGATACTGCCTCGATTAGGTGAAGCCAAGCAGCTTCTCCGGCCCCACTACCTGTGCAACGTGCTGCTGTCGCTCACATTCATCGTGGCAAAGTCGGTGCCAGGTTTGGAGGGCTTCTTGTTGTTAATTTTAGTATTTTTTGTTAGTAATCTGCGAGTCGCTCTTCACTTACGAAGATGTGTGTGAGATCGACTCCCGCGAGCGCGAGATCTTGATGTTCCTCGCCGTCGTGATCGTTTGGAAGGGCCGGAAAGCCACCAATTGGCTGCACTACATTTCGAACGTTTTCCTCTTCTCAAAGGTATGGCGGAAAATTAAGCGTTATGTTCCGTTTTTTTTAGATTGCCAGCGGGATGCTGTTTCTGCGCGCTGACCCGCTGCTCGGCATCGTCTACGTTTTCCTGGTGCTCGTGCTGGCCGTCGTTTTCCCGGAGCCGATGTACGATGGTCCTGAAAACATCACCTATTTCCAGGTTGTTTGCGGTTGTTCTTTATTTTTATGGATTCAAGCGATACTGGAGTATAGAAGGCAACTTTTGATGGTTCTTTCGCGTTGTCGGGGGGACCGAACCTTTTTTTGTATGTCTAAAAGGTCTAGTGTTAAGCAAGTATTTTGCTAGTGTTTTAGTAAGATGTAACTATATTGCAACTAAAAACTATCGATAAATTTGTAAAGTTTTGAAAAAGGGGGCATTTTGACGAAAAAATGGCGATGTTGAATCGATATTGTTGACATTTTTTAATAGAACATTTTAAAGTTTTCACGTTTAGTAATTTGATTTTTGGAAAATTGGGTTCCTAGAAAAAGCCCCCCCCGATAACGCGAAAGCAACCTTTTGATCAGTTATTTGTCGTTTTAAACGAGAAACAGAAAATCGTCTTTGGATTTATATGACTAGTTGGATAGCTTCCTGATGGCTTCAGATACCTCCCCTAGCCAAAATCCCCTTAAAAAACGATTTCGATGCCTTCCTGGTGACTTTCTTCGATGATTCCTTTCTGCGCTTCAACATACCTTTCCATTTCTAGATGTCCATCTCGCGTGTCATGGCGGAACCCCACTCGGATACCCGTCGAACCGTCAAGCTGGACCTTCACACCGACGCTGACAAAAGCGTTTCCGCGATTGTACACGAGGACCTTGATGGCGGCAAGTCCGTCCACAACGACTTGGGCGTGCTCACTACCCTCCGCAAAATCAACGAGAAGATTGGTCCCGCCCTCGTCGCCCAGGTAAATTGGTTTTCGATTTGGCTGAGGAATAAGCCTTTCGTTTAGAACTTTGACGTGACGCGGCAGCAAGAGATCGACCAGTTCATGCTCGCCCTGGACGGCACCGACAACAAGGTATTCGATTTTCCCTTTTGTCGCAATACTTTTGTTTGGAGCGTGCTAATAACGCGAAAGCAACCTTTTGATCGGTTATTTGCCGTTTTAAACGAGAAACAGAATATCGTCTTTGGATTTATTAAGCCATATTTTTTAGGGCGAAGGCCTCTTCCGCGAGCTCACCACAAACAACACCTGGATCATCATGTTCTACACTACATGGTCGCCCGACTGCCGCCACGTCAACCCGATCTTCGCCGAGCTGTCGCAGCGCTTCGAGCTGGCCAAGCTCAAGTTTGGCAAGCTGGACATCGAGCGATGGGCGGCCGAAGGCGAGCGTTTCCGCGTCAACGCCCACCCAACCAGCCGGGAGCTGCCCACGATTTGCGTGTTTGAAGGTACGATACGGTGTTCTGATTCTTTCGCATTATCAGGGGACGACCTTTTTTTGCTTATGATCCAATTTTTCAAATCTAAATAAGGGAAGTGTTTTTAAACGGGTTTTTATTATTCGTAAACGTGAAAAGCTTACAAATTTTTCATAAGAAAATTTTAAAAATATCAAGTTTTCGAAAACTAACCCATTGTTGATAAAATATTCGATTTTCTAGCCAGTTTTAAATTTTTAGATAGTTTTTATAGTTGAAATATAGTTATTTTTGGCTAAAACTCCTATTAAAACATTTCCTAATGGGCTGCTAGTCATTTCTAGACTTTTTCGAAAAAGTTCGTTCCCTCGATAAGGCAAAAGGCCTTCGTTCTTTCTTTATCTTTAGAAACCGGCGTTCTTTTTATCTTTATCCGTTTTTTTCAGATGGAAAAGAGATCCGGAGAAGGCCGCTCGTCAACGACAAGCACCGCGCAATCCCCTTCGTCTTCAACGTGGACAACTGCGTGCTCGAGTTCGACTTGATCAACCTCTACAACAAGTGCAAAGACACCTCCAAGTGCAAGCAACCGGCCGCCAAAAAGAACGAGTAATTGACGGATTTTTCGATGGTTTTGTGATTTTTGTGCAATCGTCGGTTGTTTGATATCCTAGTCGTTGCCTTAGATGGTTCTTTCGCATTATCGGGGGGGGGGTGTATAAGGCTGGAAATGTGTAAATTAATAGGAATTGTTTTGATAGTATTTGTAGTAAAATATAGAAAAACTGGAAAAATTATCTAAAAACGCTCCAAAAGTTTTGAAAAAGTGTAATTTTTAGTAAAAATCATTGATATTTTTTCTGTTTTTGATACAAATTTGTAGTTTTTACATTTGGGAATAGTAAAAAACCGTCTAGAAAGATTTCCACAATTTTTGATTTGAAACGTTGCATCCTAAGCTATAAAAAAGTGCCGCCTCCCCGGTAACGCGAAATAACGGTTAGATCTATCAAATTTAGCTGTTTCCGGATTTTGTAATGATTTTTGTGCCCCGGCCCGCACTTCCTTCTTCCAATATGGGATCTCAATCAGCCAATTGCTCACCTACCAGGATGCCTTTACCCCAAAATTTGCCGGAGATTCTCTCATTGCACCAAGACGCTCAATACTCGCATTGTCACGCTTTTGCTCTTTTTTGTTTCGTTTCGTTTTTGTGTGGTTTCCCTTTTCGCGCCTAGTTAGTAAGGATTTAATAAAATTGAGTGCTTTCCAGATTTGCGGGTAGCCGGTAAAAATGGCCGTCGTTGAAGCAGCAACGCCGTCGTCGGCCGAAGCGGGCAGGCTGGCCGATCATTACAATGTGAATGGGTGGCTAAAACATTTAAATCGCCGCCAGATTTAAGCGGTCGGTTTCGTTTGGTTTTGCGTTTTACCAGTGGTAAGGTAAGGTTTTGCGGTAAGGGGAATGCCAAAAATTCAGGGACTCCAATCGCTCTTACAATCTTGTTAGCCAAGCACAAGCTGAAGCAGAAGGTGACGTATCACCCTACGGGCTCCAGAAAACAAAATGAAATGCGACACACAAAAGCACCTGACGGACAACGTTCGAACCGACAGTGCCTCGACAGTTTCTGGCTCCGCAATTCTATACAGGCGTTGTATAGGCGTTTTTGTTCTCTAAATAAGGCTGCGTGAGGCTTTATGCCGTAGGAAATCTGAAAAACTGGCCACCCGGGAGAAAATTAGCAAGGTACTGGTTTGGGGCAAAAAGCAAGTTCAACAACAGTTCCGAGTAAAAAGGGCATCACAACGTGACATAGTATGCAAAACAGAAACGTATCAAGGACCAGGATATGCTTAATGACGTTTCAGCGTTTCGGGGAAGTAGACGTTCGGAGCTCCTAGAAAAAAATCAGTGAATTTCAGCAAAAAACGACCTGCTCGACAATATCCAAATCGGACGACCACATCTGGATGACGGTTCTACACTGGGTAGCTTGAAGACGTGTTTCCAGATGTCGAATGTCCGCTTCGAGCTTCGACATCTCGCCCCGTCGCAGTCTTCGGATGGGCACGTCGATCAGGTAGTCGTACTCGGGATTCTAGAACGGAAATTATAAAATCCGGTTCCCTCGTATTATCGGGGGGCGAACTTTTGTAGGTCTAGAAAACTATGTAATTTAATAGGAAGTGCTTTAATTGTGTTTTTAGTAAAATGTAAAAAAGTCACAATTAGAAAAACCATCTCAAAGCTCCAAAAAAAGTTTTCAAAAAGACGACATTTTAGTCAAAAAATCTATATTTTTTAATAAAATTTGTTAAGCTAAGTTAAGCTTTCACGTTTAGGTATGTAAAATTGTTTAAAACACTTCCACTATCGATGTTGGCAAAAAATCGATCATAAGAACGCCGCCCCCCGATAATGCGCAAGAACCTAAAAACCTTTCTCAGCTCCCTAGACGAACCTTTCCAATCCTCCGCGGATCTGAATCGTAGCCCCGCTCTACGAGACGGCACACAATCTCGTCGTCGTTTGGCTGCAGTCTTCCCTCGATCACGTCCGCCATAAAGCGATGCTAAAAACGAATTGGTTCTTTCGCATTCCCAGAGGGAAATCAACTTTTTTTCTAAGGAACTGTTTTTTTCTATCTTCCTAAAAACATCAAAATCTAGATTACTAGGCATTTCTGGAGTTCTAGGAAAAATTTTGACCCCCCGCCGATAATGCGAAAGAACCCAAGAATTACAGAATTAATAGCAACTACCCGCCGCACCTGATTACGGGCCACCGTAACCTTGGCCTCGATGCCGGCCATTTCGCGGGCTTTTCGCTCCTTATAGAGACGATGGCGGACGGCAAAGTGGTCGGCGAAGATGTCGTCGGTGGATTGGTAGTGCTTGATGAGAGTAGCCGGGTCGTGCAGCACCTAAACAATGCTTTCAAAAATGCGTTTTTTTTGCGGCTGATCTCATTTTGTCCAAATTTGGTCTAGGATTCGCGGGGAGGGGGGCAACTTTTTCCTGGAGGTCGCGGTCGGCCTAGTAATCAGATATAAAGTGTTTTTACAATGTTTGTAGTAAGTTTTAACTTAAATTAAAGCACAAAAAATTTCTGAAAAGTAGAAAAATGTTTGGAAAAGTCGAAAATTTCGTCTTTTGGCTCGAAGTCAAGTGTTCGAACTAAAATTTTAACCAAAATTTGTAAATTTTTGATGTTTAGGGATATTTAAAAACAATGTAGAAACGCCACTTATCAAAAATTATTATTAAATTTACGAAAATTTGGGCTTACGCCGAAAAAAGGTTGGTTCCCTCCGCCGAATCGACATGACATGGAAATTGACATGGAGCGCATCGGAATTCCAATAAAATCAAATTCCGACAGAATAATTTTCGACAAACTGATCGAAATTGGTTTTTTTGCCATTATTGAGCGGTAATTGGCCGTAAAAGCTTGAATTTTACACACCATATTACTGGTCCTCAACGTGCGCGCCATTCGTAGTTGTGGGTCGGCCAGAAACCGGGCGCCCATCCCGGCGATGCGCAAGTTGGCGGGCAAAAGTGGTGGATGGATGAGGTCGAATTCGAAGTGCACTTTGTTCTCGGTGTGCTGCTCGGAGAGGTCCCTAAAAGCAGAATTAGAAAACGACATAAAACATACTTGATGACGCCCTCTTTCTGCAACGCAACAATCACTTCGCGCCTGTAGTCCTCGGTCCAGACGCGTGCCGGCAGCTCCGTGATGCAGATACGGGTTCGCTCGGGACCCTCAAACAACGTAAGAAAATAGAACCTCGAACTCACGTGAATTTTCAGTACACGAATGACGCCTTGGACTTTGTAGGAATTTGGCTCTTCCTCGGCCACGATGCCCCCTGTGAAGCCTCGAAAGTGCGGAATCTAAAAGCAAAAATCAAATAAACGTTAAAACGTCAAGAAAGGCTTTATGATTCTGGACTATTAGCGGGGGGGGGGGGCAATATGTTTTCCGGTGTTTCTATACGGCAATTTCACAAAATATAAACCATTTTTACAGCACTTTACATAGTTCTTATATAGAAAAACAATACGAAAATGTTTGAATTTTTGTTCAAAAACTATAAAAATGACCAAAAAAGGAAAAATTTTTTCGAATGTTCAAAATTTCAAAATCTTTTTATAACTTTCCAGCAATCAGAAACTACGAAAAACACTATAAAAATGTATAATATATCATCAACAGTAGAGTGCGGCTTATTCAAATCAAATCGCGACTCAAACCGGTTTGATTTGAATAACGGAAATCTTATTCAAACCCGGTTTGAATAAGCCGCACTCTAATCAACAGTTAGGTTTAGGTAAAAAGCAAAAAATGGTCCCCGCCCCCCGCTCACAGACAATAACCGGCTTTATCAGAGCCTTCTTCAGTATGACAACAATAGAAATCACCATCTTGTGCGTCGGTTTTCCTTGGATCAAGCGTCTGACGTTTCCAATGACGTCGCTTGGATTGTAGGGCGGGACCGAGCTGGACCATCTAGATAATTACGCTATGCACCAACTACATCTTAACGTACCCCGTTGCCAGTCCTTCGCATCCATTGAGCAATACGGTAGGTACCACGGGACACAACCTAAAAGTATTGTGCAAAATGTTCCAAACAACCCCAAACCATTTCGGCTCGGCCCGTTGCCCCTCCTCAACCACAAATTCCAGACTCGGCTCATCCTGTGCCGGAAACAGCAACCGGGTGACGGGACTGAAAACAAACCGTATTAGTAGCGTTACGTACGCAAATCGATACCTCAACTTGGTGTAAATGTAGCGCGACGAAGCGGCGTCCTCTCCACCAGTGAATCGAGTGCCAAACTGGCCGATTGGCAGCAGAAGCGGGACATTGTTGGCGCCGACGAAATCCTGAGCCAGTCGCACGATTGTGCCCTCGAGGGAGGCCTGGAAAGCACGCGTTCAAATCGCTAAAAAATCCGCAGTTTTCGGATTCTTGATCTTCGTTTTCCACAGCCTTTCGATTTCGAAAAATTTATGATTCGTTTCCGAAAACCACTCCGGCCTCGGTAAGTTTAAATAAAAAACGCTTTTCAACGGTCGTGAGAGTATCAAAAGTCTTCTTAATCGTTTTAGCACTGTTTCAAGCTTTAGCGGCAAAAATTTAGACCTTTTAAAAGAGAGTTAATTCCAGAATTTCGAGATTTGCACGCGCAAAACCCCAAAAAGCTATTCAAAAAATGTCGGCATATCGAAATTTCGACATTCCTAAACTCCGCGCTTATGATTTTCGACATTTTGATACAAAATACCGGACAAGCCATACCTCGGCATGATGATATGATTGCGCCAACGCGACCGCCGATGCCAACTGCGACACTTTGCTTTCGGCGTCGCGACTTTGGCTCAAGCAGGTGTACAGCACCTTCCGCTGACTCGGCTTCAGCCCGTCCATCACGCTGGGGATGTGGCGCTAAATGTAGAGATACGCCAGAAAAAAGGCCCAAATACCCGGATGCTGAGTAGCGTATATCGAAACAACTCTTGGTCGACGAATTCCGAGTAGGTGATGCCGTCGCTGGACCGCAACACCTTGACATCATCGCCCTGCTCGGCTAGCTGCTAGAATTATCGATGTACAGCATAAAATAGATTTCTGTTACCGTATTCCTTCGCTGATACCAGCCCCTCCTTGCCGCTGATTTGCCCGGATCAAAAGCCATCTGTAGCTGCTCATCGTCACCAGCGCTCCAGCTAATTTTGCAGTAAGAAAGAAAAGACAATTTTACCCACCGAAACGGCACGACATGTTGCTCCAAATTTCGGAAATACTCGAGCGCCTCCTGAGAGGTGGACGTGCCCAACCCCTTGTAGTATTTGATTTTCCACTTGTGTGCGTCCGGCTGCCGGTCGAACCAGCCGCGGAACTCGGACTGCGAGAAGAAGTTCATCACCTCGGCGCCGCGACGGGCCTGAATCAGGGAAATCTGGCTCGACGAACCCAACAAACCTTGATCAACGCCGTCACGAAGCTAGAAAGGAAGCCGGTGCGCAGAAGAGCTGGCCAGAAGTGGCCGATGAAATTGATGACGAGGCCCTTTACGCGCGCGCCGTCGTCGTCCTGCAAAATTAGGGAAAATCGAAAAATGCCAGTAAAATCAAGGCATATGTATGTAGTCCTTTATTGATTGAAGCTTTTGGGAACTCAAAATACGTCTCAAAAGAACAAAAAACCAACCTGGTCTGCCAACAGCATCAGTTTTCCATAGCGAAGGGAATCGAGGTCGGCTTGCGTTTCGTACGTCCGATTTTTATCCAAATTCAGCGCCGCACAAAGCGCGAGAATCTCCTTGTTGGCGAAGACCTAAAAACTATTGCTTTTTTTACGTTTTTTACAGGGGGTTTCGTCGACACTTTCGAAGGAAACATTTGTCCTATTTTACGTGGGCTTTTCGTCGATGAATTCCTGATTCAAGACCAAAAAAGGCCTACCCGCGCCTCAGCCGCGTCCTGCACGTTCAGCAGCTTCCCGCGAATCGGCAAAATCCCGAAGCGATCACGACCTTTGGCCTAAAAGCCGCTTACAGTAAAGTGTTCCTGGACGGGATCGAAATTCTAAATCAGATCACGCCTATCTTGTGCAGAATTTCTCGCGAATTGCGATCCTGCTTTTAGAAACCGCTAAATGGCCATTTTGAAGCAATTAAAAAGCTTTTTAGCTGAAAAAGGCAGAATGGCACCATTCTCCGTAAAAAATCGGCGCTTTCGAATGCGCTATACCACGTCAATTTCTTCAACAATTATCGAAAATCGGTTTCGTTCCATACATGTACACATTCCGCCACGTTTAAAACCGCGTTTGGAGCAAGATATGGGAAATTTGACGTGGCAAAGCTCATTCTAAAGAGCCGATTTTTCTGAGCATGATGCACTAATGGGATTTTCTTGAACATTTTTCTTGAAGATTTTTTAGCCATTCAAAATGTGCCGTTTTTTGGCGTTTTTTGAGCTAAAAAGCCTTGCAATTTTTTAGCAGTAACAGTAACAGTAGTTTCTAAGATCCGATTCGGGATCCGCAAAAAATTTTGCACAAACTAGGCTAGGTCTTATCGAATTTCCATCCTGACCAAAAAGGGTTGACTGTTAGAGCTAGACTTTACCTCTAGCCCGGCCATTGCAAACGCTTTTGCGGAATCGCCCTCGGTGATGATCAGCGTGCACTCGTCGCCTAAAACACGAATCTTCACGTAAAATAGAAACAACCACTCACGCCTCTTCTTGCCCGCCCAATTCGCGTCAATTAGCTTCTCCACCTCGGCGGTGGCCAGTTTCCGCTTGGGACGCTGAAATCACGGTATTATTTGGGATAAAAAAACTGAGAGTCCAACATTATTCGCCTTTGTATTCGACAAAATCTCTTCCAGAATCCCCGCCTCCTCGGCCCATTGCTGCAGCTTCTTGACGTCCAACTCGAAGGAGGAGCCGAAATGTTTTGGAGTAGTCGTCAGCTCTTCCTAATAATTTTGCATTAGAATAGAAAACAAAACAAAACCTTTGTCTGGGCCTGAAACGATGGGTTCTCGATCAGGCAATTGATGAAGACGATAAAATGGGGTTTAATCTAAATCTAAATATTGTATAACATTGATCAAAGCACCTCGGAAGGCCGTATTTTCGGATGACCCAGTTCGGCCAATCGCTGTTGTACCGCGTCGACAATCTGATTCAACACATAGTCGAGGTGGCGGCCGCCCTAAAGGTTGATTTTACCTTTGAAATAAGTAAGTTCATTACATACCTTTGAAGTATGGACATTATTGACGAATGAAATTTGCTGCAAAGCTTTCCCCTTCGTCGAGCTGCCCACGATTACGTGCCAATAACTGGAAAACTGTCCAATTCGCCAACAGTAGTTCACAAACTTGTTTGGACGTTGACCATGTAAACAAGAATCCGGGGCCACGAAAGCCGAGCATATTCCTCGAAACGATTGACCTGCAATTAAACAAATTTAAATCCGGTTCTTTCGCATTATCGCGGGGGGGGGGGACCAATTTTTCGCCTATGAGACGTAGAAAAAATCGGTCCCCCGATAATGCGAAAGCCCCAAATTTTGTTCAATATAAAATACCTCAACCCTGAGGCCATTATAGTAGACTTTAACGCCATTCAGCGTAGCGGCGAGATCAAGCACCCGCTTGTGTAGCAAAGCTATCATGTCCGCATCAAGCCCCGGGACGCCGAACCAAGCGTAGTCGGGCGTGAAGATGACCTGAAATCGATTTGGATGAAGCCGGAATTCGCCAACCTCTGTAAAATCCTCGCCATCATATTTCGACAACTTGAACTCCTCCCTATTCGCCATATTGTCCGTCCAGGTCTGGAATCAGTGAAAAATCAGTTAGACAAACAATCTACCTGCTCGAAAAGCTTCTGGTCGGCCCGGGAACCGGTCCGGACTTTGAAAGACGAGGAAAGGATGTTGCACGCTTTCGCCCCGTAGCCATTGCGACCGCCTAAACACGCATTTGATAATACCAAAAATTTTCGGCCTTCCTCGAAACCCAGGATTTTTCATTACGAACCTACAATCCGTGTCTTCGAGTCGTCGAGATGCGAGGAGACCATCGGATACCCAAAAATAAGCGTCGGAATCGGGACGTGCTCTTTTGGATGTTCGCGAATCGGGATCCCGGTGCCATTATTCCAAACGGAAATCGTGCCCGACTTTCTAGAAACAAAATCAATACGTTCCAACGCGCAATCAACGTACCTGTCTATCGTCACGCGAATCGTGTCCATCTCGGGCGCCCGTTGCTTATTATCGGCCGCGTTGATCAGGATCTCATCAAAGACCTGAACCCAGTACACATCTAAAAAGCCTAAAACAACCTTTAGCAGCGCTGGTGAATATCTGATCAGCTTCTGGACCATCCGATCGCCCTCGAGCACCCATGAGTTCTAAAACCGAATCATTGAAGGTACTAAAAACCAACCTTTTCGGTGATCTCCTTCCCACCGACGTACATATCGGGCCGGGAAAGCAAGTGTTCGCGCAGGTCATACTTTCTGTATTCCGAATTAGCTTCAAGTTGTAGCCCCGTTTTTGTCGATGCACTTCTCCGGCTGATTTGCGCTCTTCTGGAAAGGTAAGGCGTCTTTTTCCAAGGCTTAACTACCTCTTGTGACAGAAAACTTTGACTGCCAACGTTTGCGGAAAAGAAGTAGATGTTGAGGGAATCGTTACATCATGTAGGGCCCGTCTGAGCTGGATAGAGACACGCAAACCGTTTCGTAACCTAAAAAAACCCATATATCCTCAGCTTTGGCTTACATTCATGGGATTGCCCGTGCCAGCTGGCTTCTGCCGACGTCTGCGTCGATCCGGTGATAGCGTTTTGATAATATTTCAAGCTTTTTCGGTTGATCGTCAAGCCTGTAAAGGAAATATAAAAATCAAAGAACCGATTACGCGGTCGAATTGCGTCAGAAAAATTCCGAAAGCCTCCGAATTGCAGCGCGCCAAGTTTAAATTTTTAATAGTGGAAGAAATGTATCTGAAAATATACATTTTGGGCCTTTTTGACGGATAAAATGCGAAAATTCTTCACGGCCCAGCCAAGAAACCCGAAGGCGACCCCCGAGAATCCGCCAAAGAAGTCAAGACTGGAAAATGAAGCAAGTCTCGTCTCAGCAAAAGTAATTTGTACTTTAGGCTCCTTCGAAACCGCCAGAAAATTTCCTGAAAGCACCCGGGATCCGCTTGGTGCGTTCCGAAGTTTCAAATATATAACTTGCAAATCGTAGGACTTGGAGCAGGCCAAGAAGCGGCGCGAGACAAGGCTTGCCGAGTTCGAGCTGCGCAAAAATGACCCAGCTTTCATGGAGAATGTAACATAACTACCATTTCTGAACGGGCTTCTTTAGATCTTTGAAATGTACAAACGGGAGATGCTGACGAGGAAAGAGTTTGGTGACACGAGCGCTTTGAAGAAGGTGCGCAGCAATTTTTGACGATTGATCAATTGATCAATTCACAACGTGGATTTAGCACGGACTGACGAATCTGCGATTTGCCGACGGTTTTGGCGACGGCGAAGCGCGGCTTCGGGCCATTGCTGTCCCGAAAGATGTCATGAAGTCGTTCCAGCAGGGCGAAAAGTGAGCGAGTGAGCTTATTAGATACGTAGATTTTTTAGGTTCTACTTCCGAAGCGGGGCCAAGGACCCTCTCGTGATGTGTACCGCGAATAGCACGTTCACGATTCAAGTGGGGTTGTCGTCTTTTTATCAGAACTAAGATTTAGAGAAACGCATCAGACGCTTTGTTTGCGGTCGCACCGTTGAGCATCAGTCGCGAGGACGAACGAGCCAAGGATTTCAAAGAGTGTGAGGTATAACGGGTTCCCCTTTTCGGGTAATAGTTGTTTCAATCAGATTCGCGCCCCCGTCGACTCGCGTCTGCACCTTGCCATTCCACGCGGCAACTTTGACTGGGCGGCCGTTCGGCGGCTTTTAAGGGAATACGAGCTCCACCACGTCGACGATGAAGAGCTCACCGACATCTCCGACGATCTGAACCATCAAAAACGGTAGAATACCTTTCCTGTCTGGTGATCTTGATTTAGTTACTCTATTCGCCAGCTGTTACGCCAGCTGCCAATCAGTGAGGGAGAACTGCGTGCGTTTTGCAAGCGACTACCCATCATCCATGTAGACGGTACTGAAGTAATTCAATTCTATTTTTCCTGGCTTAGGAAAGCTTGTCTGGATGACACCACAATATTGCGCACACCTTCTCGATGTTCTCGTCGACCTCTTTGATGAAGACACGGCCAGCGAAATCAACGTAGGCTTTTCTTGATGGTTCACACCTTATTTTAGGTGAGCCACTGCACATTTGACGCTCTCCGCGCCTCGTTTCCGGCTGAAGTGCCCGATTCTGGAATACAGTGGTTGATCGACCATACGATGGATTCGGGCCAAGATGGTGGTAAGCACCAACTATCGATGTGTAACCAATTTTGTAGTTTTCACCGTCAACGAGGCCAAGTTGGTGAACAACCGCCTGCGCTACATCCTGCCCTTTACGCCGATCCGGATGTACGACGATTTGGCAAGGATCGTCGATCGAATTCTGCCGGCTGGAGTCTTTTTCAAGTAAGATACAATCCTTTTCAAGAAAGAAGTTTTCAGAAAGGAGTACTTGATTGGCGTAGCCCTGACGGCGCTCCATGCATCCGGGGAGGAGCAGCTGATTTTGCTGGACAAGGACGAGTTGCCGGACGAGCACATGGCCAGGTAAGGCTTAAAAATTCACTAGAAGCCCTTTTTTAGAGTAAAAGCCATGTTCGACGCGCGCTCCGTGTGGCCGGCAGATGAAGTGCCCGTATATTTGGAGGATGTCTTCCCCGATAGGTACAAGATTCCCGGTCGGCAGTAACCCGCTATTTAGACAAAAAATGGAAGAATTCATCTTCGACAGCCTCGAGCGCGGAGAAGACGACAAGGGCCGTCCGATCTACGGCGGCGTCATCGACCCCGACATTTGAGGCAAACCCGGCAACACCATACAAAATATTGACGTTTTTATGCATTTGATCGATTTTTACGTTGTGATCTTGGCGCATAAACTGTATTCGAGAACAACTTTTATTTAGCGCCCAACGTGCCGAGCAACTGCAAGATGCAAAATAACAATATGTAAAAAATGCATTTCATTTCAGGACCTTATTCGAATAAAAAGGAATCCCCATACTGTTCCTAAGTTCTGAAATTGTACGCACGCTCCGGGTGACGTAATTCGGAATTTGGAAAGTTACGTTGCTACAAATAAATTTCCTTTTCACCCGTTTTCGCAAGCTTTTTTTAGAACTGTCCGAATGCTTTGATTTTGATGCGGCTGATTTTAGGCCAATTTGGGAGTCGGATTTTTGGCAGAGAGAAGCCAGAGCTAATGGGAGAAGCCGCTTTTCAAAAGGCCGCCCACTCGGGACGAATCAAGCCGAAAATATTGCGTTGGGTGGTGTTGCATCTTTTTGGCTGCCGACTACATTCTTTTGTGCCTCTGGAAAGGTGATAAGTGCGCCCTGAACTGCGTACCGGAAGGCCTGGAACGTGGACGCTGCGATTCAAAAGTTTGGAGCTTTTTAAGGGAATAGATATGTTTAATTATAACTAAAAAGACTGCTAAATCTTTAGGTGAATTCGGCCCTGTTCAAGAGGAAGCTTTTTACGTAAAAATGCCTAAAAAGCGGGGATTGTAGCGCCCAATCGTTTCTAAAATCCGCATTTGGAACCGAAATTCGTCAGTTTTAACTTTTTTCGGTTTTAACAGGGTTTTTGGATTACTATGGAGCGGCCGCGAGGATAATTGACGCATCGGGAAAGACCAAAAAAGGTGGGAAGGGCCGGTAGACCGGCGATTTCGGCTGCAATTTCGGCCACCCGGCCGGAAATCGGCGTGCTGTATTTTAAAAATCACCTTTTCGAATGACGTCACAGGATTTATTTTTTAAATCTAAATAGTGGGCGTGTTTCTAAATGGTTTTTCACTATACCTGAAAACTGAAACTAACTGAAATATACTGAAAACGTTACAAGTGTTACTAAAAAGCCCAAGAAAAAATAGATTTTTCGACAAAAAATGCCCGATTTTTGCCAGAATTTCGACTTTTCCAGGATTTCGGGAGAGTATTTTTTATTTAAATCGTGTTATATTTTAGTAAAAACACTATTAAGACACAGTACAAATTTTTATTCACAACTATCAAAACTATCGATTTTTTTAGACAAAAATGCCCGAATTTTTGCCAGAATTTCGACTTTTCCAGAAATTTTGGAATAGTATTTTTAGTTTAAATCGTGAAATATTTTAGTAAAAGCGCTATTAAGACACAGTGCAAATGTTTATTCCAAAGATATCAAAAATATTGATTTTGCGATCAAAAATGACCTTTTTACCGAAATTTCGGCGTTTTAAATTTTTTTTTGATAGTTTTCAGATAGTCGTTCAAGTTGAAACGTAATTTTATTTTGCTAAAAAATTATTCAACGCTACCTTGAAGTTTCTAGGCTTTTTTAAACTTAGATAAAAATTAAACCCCTCCCCTATAAGGCGAAAGAACCGGAACTTCAAGCTCTATCTCGTTCAAACTTCTCTATCACCTCGTAAAAATGCCAATATCACCTAAAAACTACTTCTTCTTGCAGGTTTCGATCGAGAAATCTTTGTTCTTTCCACCTATAGACACCCGAAAAAGGCACAAAAGCCCCCGGCGACTTTCCAGGGTCATTTTAATCGGATTCTGGTGCGGACCGACCGTCTTTTCTGCCCCGTTATCGCCACTTCCCCGGGCTATTTTGGCTATTTTTAGATTTCGAAGGCGAGTTTTTTGGGCGGGCGAGTAAAGAATTTGGAAAACGGCCCCCGGGATTTTCGTAGAACTGATATAGGCGTCGCGGAGGGTATAAAAATTGTGGAGGGTGCCGATCGGCTGATTTATTGGCGATTCCCGGATCCGAATTTCCGACGGAATTTTCTACGTTTAATAGTACTCTTTTGGTCAGTTTAGGTTTAATTTTTGCTTGCCGCTTTGGCTGAATCTAAAATGAAGGTTAATACGATTAACAAATTAAACCGTTAATCGTTTTCTCGCTCTCGCTCGCTTCGTCAAAACTCTCTCACCCTCTCTCTCCCTCTCTCCCGCTCTCTATCTCTCTGGCTCTCACCCTCCTCTCTCTCTCTCTCTCTCTCTCTCTCTCTCTCTCCCTCTCTATCACTCTCTCTCGCTTCTCTCTACTCTCTATATCCCCCTTCTCTCTGCTCACTCTCCATTCCCTTCTCTCTCTCTCTCTCTCTCTCTCTCTCTCTCTATCTCTCTCTCTCTCTTACCCTGCATCTCCGTACGGCAATACTAAACGTAGCTTAAGATCTCAAAGGTGTGGATTGAGCCGAAAAATATGACATCAGCTACAGTACTCCAGGACGCTCCATGAAACCGGCTGGATTAACCTGGGGGCGAGTAGTA